AAACTCCTTTATAGACATTGTGCTATAATACTCATCTATAATTTTAAAAAAAGCAGCACAATTTAGAATTTTAAAGAAAACTTTCAAAAATTCGTTTTTAAATATTTTAGTATTTTTTACTTATTTACACCAATAAAAAGCATAAAATTTGCAAGAGAAAATTGCTTGTTTGAAATTTTCTATTAGTTTAGACTTAAAATATTATGTTCTAAAAGAACGAGTTACAAATTTCCTTACAGCATAGGAAAAGCTAAAAAAATATCCAGCCCTGAAATAAATATATCCAGCCTCAAAAAAATATCCAGCCTCAAAAATAAAAAATATGGAGAAATTCTAATTTGTGAAATGAGGCACTACAACCAGATTTTTCTTGACAATTATACACGCTGCAAAAGGCAACCATTGTTAAATTTCTGCAAGTCATCCCTACTCCTTCGGATGTGATCAAGGTGACAGCCGGGAACGCGTCAGACGAGGGAGAAAACTCATTTAGGTTGGTCTATTTCTTATAAATGCCATGGTGTCACTTAAATCACTGGAGCAAATAAGCTGCAAGAAGCAAAGAAGTCGCAGGACACAGTTAATCATCCGTCTTCTAAAACGTGGCGAAATGCACTTACACAAATGGTATTCAAATAATATTGAACTATAGAAGAATACAAAAAGTGCAACTCATCATTTTTCTTTTCGAGTTACTTATGAACCTCACATTACAAGGACCTTGTGAATGTTATGATGTAAGGCTACAGATAGTTTTTCTTACGATTTAAAGATACCTGACTTTGAAGAAACCGAGACTTTTGAGCCATTAAACTTAATTAGCGCTGTTACAGCAAAGTCTAAAATACTTCTACAAAACCTTCGACTCTTAAAAATAAATTGGAACATACTTCTTCCTAAAAAATGACTTTTAAAAATTGAAGGCATTTCTGTATATAATAGCGCATCCCTAGATTTATTCTAACCAACAGAGTTCAGCGAATAGGATTCTGCAATGCTAGTTAGAAAACCTATGGTGCTGTATTTTATGCGAAATGTATGTCATCTTCGAATTAATGTTCAAGAATTTCAGTGCAGGAAGTTTTCGGTTTCAACTTTGAAGTCTCTCGTTTGGAACATTGTGGTGCAATTCTGTTGGCAAAACTAATGAAAAGAATGTTGTAGGCTATTTCAACTATTTATAGATAAGTTGTATTATTTCATTAATTCTTCAACAGTGTTAGCATGGATTAAGAAGGAACCTCATCAACTAACGACATTTGTTGCTAATAGAGTGCCTGTTATTCGCAGTATAACGACTAATCATAGCGGTATCATGTTAGCACTCATTATAATCCAGTTGATTTTATATCACGTGGAGATGAACCTAACGATCTTTTTTACAATATTTTAGAGTAGTATGGACCAAAGTTCTTAACTAAGGAAGAACCGAAGCCTTCTGAAATAATTTTATCTTATATGGATGATCTGGAATACACATCAAGGAACTCAAACCTAATGACAGTGACTTAGTTAATCTAAATATTGCCTTGGTTTAGATCGTATTCTTTTTGATAGTAATAAATATATTCATATTATACGTGTGTTAATTGTTATTTGGAGATTTACAGACAATTGTAAGGAAAAAGTTTTAATAGGTCCTCTAACTTTTAAAGAATTGGCTGACGCTGAGAAAATCATCATAAGGTATGTACAATTACAACATTTTAGCAAGGATATTCTCTTCTTGAAAATTAAGAATTGTGCTTCTTCTAAAAGTATATCCATTTCTAGGCAAAGATTCTCTTCTAAGAATAGAAGGCAGATTTATAATTATTAATCTTAATTAAAATCAAAAATTTCCATATATAATGCCAACAGTAATATATTTACTAAATATTATTTTTGAGTACTACCGTGTTAAATATTTGCGCTTTGGTGCGAAAGCTTTACTGCATCAAGTTCGCAACAAATTTTGGGTTATTAACGGTCGAGATATGGTTCGAAAGGTTTTACATAAATATGTAACATGTTTTAAAATTAAACCAATTGTATGTGAACACCTTATGAGAAATTTACCTGGTGAATTAGCAAAAAATTATTGATCAGTCCAAAAATGTGATATACAAAGGTAAAAAATTTCTCATGCCCTCCTGCATTCACAAATCATTACGCAAATACATATTTACGACTTTTAAAACCTGAAAACTATGTCTGCGATGTTACCATCATCCGAAGAGTTGACGCTACCACGATGTTTCGCGATGTTTTTGAAACGCTTTTTTTTTTTTTCTGCAATGATATTTTATTCCATTACCTTTTTCTAACTGCGATGCTCTCTCCTTGCTTTCTTTTCCCCACGATGTTTTCATCTTGTGTTGTTTCCTCTGTGCCGGTTTCGTCCGCGATGTTTTTACCGTGATGTTTTCGGCGGACATATTCTCACTAGGACACGAATTAGTCAGTGAACATATTATATAAAAAGGACAAGGGAAGGCACTGCATGGAATGAATTGTATGAAATTGCATTTTATTTGCCTATATATACATAATGCAGAAAGCTGCACTTCTAAATAATAAACAAAAGATATTTTACATACAGGTGATTCACATTTGTTTTTCGAACGCTTGTGTTTTTTCAGATATATTTACCAATATCAGTTACAAAAGATTACCGAAATGGCTTTATTTTTCTTATACATATACGAGGGGAATTCGAAAATTAGCTTTTCTTTGTAAATGAAAACCCCGCACGGATTAAACAATTTTTTTATTTACATCTGAAAGGTACAGCTCTCTTCTGTTTTTCAGCATAGTCACCATGTTTATTCAAGCACTTGTGATAGAGTTTTATCAACTTACCAATCCATCTGCATAAAACTCAACCTCCTGCAACTTCAATCAGCTTCTCACAGCAATTTCAAGTTACTCATCGTCAGTGAAGTGCTGTACCCCACGGCAATTCTTCATTGCAAGGAACAGATGATAATTAGAGGAATGTTGTTTGAAGAAATTACCACTCACTACAGATGGCGTCATTCATCATGAATATTTGTTCATCCTTTTTGGAAAAATCTCGCCACTAACGCACTGCACCTGCACTAAAATAATCATATACGGGCAACCGTATATCATACATAGTTCACGATGAATGTCTTCCTCTGACACCTCTCTTGCCCAAAGAAATCGTATTACTCCTCTTACCTCGCATTTAGTGGGATTTTCAGTAGCAGCGCACATTTTGTGACGTTATAACCAGCATACGCGAGCAGTAGGACACTCTCACTAGGAGAAAGGAAGCTTACTGAATCAAAGGTTGCGCTCCGCCCACTACTATTCGCCCCACGCCACGACAGGAGTAAATTTCCGAATTGTCCTCGCACTAGTGATAATCTACTTTAAAACTGGTTGTTTTGAAAGGCGTATTTGAAACGTTTTTAGTAAAAAAAGTCATTTATAAAAAAACGTTCTGAAAAGGAACTCACGTAAATATTCGGACACTTTGAACAAGCAGTTTATATTTGATGAAAAAAAGAAAATAATCGAACGTTCAATCACTGGATATTCTTCAGATAAAATTACTCTTTCCATGCACATGGCATTGACTCAAACTAATTTATTTCGCATAAGAATGTTTTATTTTGTACTATTCTTCCATTAGAAATGCTTTTCATAATACACGAAACACGACTTGTAGTTTTACTTTGATAAGGTTTCACTTTTTGAAAGCCATTCACATAAAGAAATGGAGTTTCTTCTGTGAATATTAGACGCAAAACACTTTCTTCATAGTACGTTGAGTAGATTTTAACTTTTTTTCCACTCTCTTTAATTTCCTGCTGCAAGAGAACCCGACGACAATCATAATCAATACCTTTTATTGAATTTTTTTTTACATTGACGGAACGATGTTTGTACATTATTTCCTCTTTGTTTTTTATAATAAATAATAGAACGAATAAATAGAACGTTTTTTGTTGCAGTCATTTAGGTAAACCCACGTTTTATTCACTTATATTTTTCAGATTTATTTGCAAATATCAGTTGCTAAATATTAGCTAAATGACTTTACTTTTCTCTCACATACACCATTGATCATCTAGTTCAAAGCCTAGTTGTTTTGAAAGATGTAGTTCAAAACAGTTTTAGTAAAAAATAATTATTGAAAAGGTTCTTAAAAATAAACTCACCAAAATATTTGAAAACATTAAAAAAGCAGTTTATATTTAATAAAAGCATGAAAATAACGGGGAGTTCATTATTTCGTTGGATACCCTTTAGTAAATTAATATTATTTATGCTCTTTGGCATGGATTCAACCAACATTTTTATGTAAAAATGTTCCGTTCCTCCATAAGAATTGCTTTTAGTAGAGCTTTCAAAGAATATCATGTTTCCTTATTCTTTCTTCCAACTCAGTCCATAGATGCTTGATAGGATTTAATTCCGAAGAATATGGAGGAGTTTTGATAACTTCAGGGTAGTTCTACAATAACCGCAAGCGAACATTTAGGGCTGTATGTTTAAAATCTTTATCCTTATAGAACTTCAATGTGCTTTTCATTCCAAGTTTCCTTCCAGATACTTTCAAAGTTCCTTTAAAATTATTTTTATATTTATACTGATCCATATTTTTTCGATAAACACTAAATTTTACATTCTAAAGGCAGTAAAATTAGAATTTGTACGCCAAAACGAGCAATTCATCCAACGGACAGGAAAAAACGGATCCCATGGGTCCAAAAGACTCTGAATTTGGTACACCAACTAACTTTATTCAGTAACTACTAACAACTAACTTTACTAAGAGTTTTAAATGTAAACAAATGACAGCCTCGTTGTGCCCAATGTAACTTAAACTTTTAAACTGTTGATAATTTTACAACTATTGGCTGCAGATTAACTAAAGACATAAAAAGCTTAACCGGAACACGAGAACAACATAATTCAATTAGTTTTCAAGCAGAAAAGGCACAATTTAACAACATATAAGAAGAATAGGACTGAACAAATCTACTTACGTCTTCTGTCTCCATGATGTTGCAACATTGTCCTACAGACCAGATGGACTGCTTGGAGTTGGATTCCAGAATCCATTCGGGAGAAGGCGTGGAATATGACTGACAGAAACCTCTGCAGGCGTTGGTGGTGATGTCGAAAACCACACACCCAGGTATCCGAATCTTTCTTGTGTGACCTGTAAATGCATACAAAATCAATAAACCTACAATAGCTTTTCTAATAAGAATGTAATAGTCAGCTGTATAACATATAACTAAAGGTAAATTAACTCTGCTTCTTCTATCTAAATAATATAAGTCCATTTCTCTTGTTACGTAACTAATCAAACAATGGAGTGAAAAAATAATGAAGCTCACAGATATCACGCATTAAAAATTGCGGATACAAAGTATTTATCAGTTTTTATTGCATAGTATGATTTAAGGCCTGTTTTAATGCCTTAGTAAGCTTCTTGTTACAAAAGGCTATTCATTAACTTCCTGAAATAATTTAAAAGTTCCCAACAAAAGAAATATGTAACTGATATCAAATTTTAATATGCAGAAATAGAGGTAAACTTATTTTAAAGTCTTTTAATACATTTTATCTACAAATTATAAAAGCAACCTTTGTATAGAATGTCTAGGCAATATATGGACGCCAAAGTAGTAAACAAATAATATTTTACATAATGACGTTTCTAACCTGGCCTTACAAAGAATTCTCCATTTGCATCTCAGTTTTTCTTCTGATAAATTATTGAATAATGCAAAGTGCACGAGAGCTGTCTGCCTAAAGGAAGAGATGCCTTCCTGAAGGACTTGAGGAAAATTTGCTCGTATTCACATGTATCAGTCCAGGGCACCATTGTAGCGATCACGTTGTGTCGTATTCCTCAGCTCCAGGAATCACATAGCCTCAAAGACCTTCTTCAGGATTACTACAGACAGCGGGGCGTCAGAACTATCATAGAGTAGGTCTATTCTAAGCGTAACATAATCATAGCAGATGACCAGGTCTAGGCATCTGACGAAATGTAAGGGCAGCAAGCCTCTATTCATGTATACTATATGTAAATATCTCTAAACCAAGTAACCCTTTTTGCTAATTTTATACTAACATACACAAAAAATTGTAAGTTGGAGCACCCAACAAAAGTAATAACTAATGTTAAATCTGTTTATCAATAATAAGGTTGAAAAGATAAAATGCCAAAAAAGGTTGCTGGTACAACGAATCAGAATAACATGACTGACCTGTAGTGCCCATTGAGAGGTGAAACAGGCGGAATGGACCTATTTCGTAGCAGTCAAATATCGTACCACCATGGAGCTCTTCATAGCAGAAAAGCTCTCGTGGGGTAGTTTCCGATATTCAAACTGCTTCGTGGTGCGAGCGTTTGATTGTCTCTCAGTACCACTGCATTCGTTATATATGGGGGAAACTACAAAAACCAATCATATAGCAAGCTAGTTCCCCTGCGTTCGAATCCAGAGCGAATTACCACTATTCACCAGTCTTTAACTACTCCAGTTTTTGTTTGGAAGTGGTGAAATAGGCTGTTTATAATTTGTTCAGCAAAGAGTGCTATGATGCATTAAAACCGAACAGCAAGATGGTCCGAGAAGAAATCATGGTATGTTAACATGGTAATGACGATTCTATGAAGGACTGTCTTAAACACCGCAAAAAACAGTGTTTACCTAACAAAACTGCTCACTAAACTTTAGTGAGGAGAAGTATAAGATAACTAGTAAAACCACAGCTCATTGACTGCTGAATAACTATGATGTGATGTTAGTGGGTAATAAAAATAAGCTGATTTATCCTTCTAAATAAGGCGCCAGTGACATCGAGATCTACCTATCGTGTTTTCAATAAAAGCTTTTCGAGAACTTCTTTTAATACTTTTAATGACAAATGACATTTGTCATTCTATATAATTCTCAGGTATCTGGCCAGAGAAAGTATATAAAAGGAAATCAGAAAGGATTTAGAAATTAACTTCGCACCAGAAGATTTGTCAAGGTTTCTTATGCTTTCAGTGAGCATCGCTGGTGACCAATCTGCTCTTGGATTCATGCCTTCTAACACAATTTTTGTAGCTTTACTGTTAAGCATCGCTTTCTCCGCTCTTACGCCACATAAAATTCAAGAGCAAAATCACAAAATATTTAAAAGCAGCATATCCCGATATTCCCGATAGAGCAATAGGGATTGCCATATATTTTTCTTACATTCGCTATATTATTTCCTTTACAACTAGTCGTTCGAAATGAACTAATGGTTTTAAAATCCAGCTATGTCATTTTTAATATTTCTAATTAGACATCTCGTAATTTAAATGCATTTTAATTTACATCAATCGGATTAAAAAGTAAATAAAATATTAGCACACGCCCATCGATGCGATGGACCAGAAAACGTTATTCGTCGGACCAATGCTTCTTTCTTCCATTCTTCTAATGTCGTCAGTGCAGGACATGCTTCGGCCTCCGACTGCGTAGGCCCATACGCAGCAATGTACGCTGCACAGTGTGTTGAGAAATATTGTCTGGGTCGTCACTGTTGTAACTGGTGGTGATTTCGAGTCCGGCGACGGCATTGCTCACTTTTCATGTCTCTTGATTCAAAAAACCTAATGAATAAAAGTGGCGCCCAAATTAAAAGATAGTGATAAAATATAATTCGTCACCACCAGAATTTAGCAATTGGGTTCTCTAATCCCCAGTCACCCTTTAGATGGGGAGTATATAAGGTGTTTTCTCCCGCCCTCTAGTATACCTTCGTGATGTAACGGTGTTCGTAGTGTACTCGACACGTATTCCGAGAGATGTAGGTTGGAGTCCTGATGAAGGCACTCCACATTTTTCACGTGTGCAGTTTCAAAAATAACCTAATCACTCTACAGTATTACTTAATTAATTTGCGGATTTAATACTTACTAGCCCCTATGCGACCAGCTTTCGTCTGGCTTTTAAATGTACGGGAAAACAAATGTCCTCTCGACAAACATCGTATCCAAGTACCTCTCGACAAACGTCCAGTATCCAAGAGAAACATTAAATTTAAAAACTTTACAGAATTATAGCTCTCATTTTTCCGAGTGGCAACAGTCCTGATATCAGCAAGAATGGCAACAGTTATGTATCAGCAGCAATGGCTGCGTGCAGTCTATTTGATGCGATTTCATCAAAAAAACATAAAATAAAAAAAACTCTTTCGAATTTTGAAAAAGGCACTTCTATGTGCACTGGCTCTTGTCTAGATGCACCTATGTACCAAAACTGGGTCTAACACGCAGCACGAACGCAAGACACACAGACTCTTCTATTTATTATATGAAGAGATATTATATTGCATGCATGTACTGGAATGCTTATAATTACAAGTATCTTAGTCATAACTTTATCCCGAATCTAAATATATAGTTATGAAAACAGTCATAAAGTTGGTTTATTTGGGTTTCGGAACTGTCAAAATGAATATTTCCATTGAAATACTTATAATACCTGATATTTTTCGCCATTGCTATGCTTCCTTTACATCGTACAAGAAAGTAAAAACTGCTTAAGCTATTAATTAAAGAAGTCGGATTTAATGTTTTTATTCAGTAATTCAATTATGCTTCTTGAAAATGTTTTTTTAGCAAATCACGTTATTCACTTTGTTAGAAAATGTTCAATCTCTTATCATTGTTCCTCAGCTTTTGACGATAATAATTTTATGTTGACCGAATAATACCGTCCGTCAATAAAACATGTTAGCCCAGCCATTAAATAAATTCTCTTTTCTAATCATAGATTAGCCAAGGAACAATTCTTTTGTCTTAAGAGTGACATCCTTTATAAAATCAATATTTCAAGCAGAAGGCAACAGGTATTGAGGTAGAGTATTAACCGAAGAACTGTTATTTCCTTTCATCTCCATAATCTGTTTCCTGGAGAGAGATTTAAAGATTAAGGAAGAGAAATTTCCTTTTCCTCGAGGAACATTCTTGCATTAAAGTAATTTCCTCCGAATTTCGGTGGACTACAAATTTTTTGGGAGGACACACACATCCTTCTGATAATTACTAGTGCAGATGCAATAAAAAAAGAATTTTTATATATATAAAAATCGAGTAATTTTTGTTGTAAGGGATGCGAGAATTTTTTAATGTAACTTCTAGGTTTCTGAACGTTTTACAATGAAATTTCTTTCAAAACAGTTTTTTTTATTGCAGTAATTGTAAAGTTAGTTTTACGTGTATTAACCTGTTATGTTATTATTTTCATTTTTACTCTCCCTTTCACTAAATTAACAATGAGATTTAAAATAATATACATTCAAATAATATACCGAATATAAAAAAAATTATGCCAGCCTTTTAACACTTGACCAGGAATTCTAAAATTAGGTAGACTGATTTTAAATATTTCATTATTTTGCCATTAAATTTAATATTTAAAGTTAAAAGGCAAAAATTTATTAATCAAAACATAAAAAAACATTTTTCAAGCCAGTGGTTTCAAATTTAGATTGCATGAGTGTCTGATTAATTTGCGATCTAAAAACAGCTGACTGGCCAGAATATTTCGCCAAATTTTGACTCAAAAATGAGTCGCCAATCCATCGCCAGCTTGGCCATATTTCGCCAATTTAGCGAGATAAACACAGTTTCATACATAATTTCTCCAAAATCATTTACCTATATACATAATTCGTAACAATATTAATATTACAAAAGAAAAAATTCACATTTATATTTATTTTCTATCTATTTAAAGTTTGGTACTTGTGAGACATTTTTGTTACTTATATTTCGTTAATCAATTATGGTAAATCTTCAAAGTGGTTATTTACTTAAAATACTTCTAAAATGTCTAATTATTCTTTAAGTAACTTACTTTAATTTAGACTAAAAATAAACAAATTATGAAAACTTTTTATAGCTTCACCACAATTTTTCCAAATGGAACAAAACTTGAGAATAAACAATGACAACCTAGCCTCTTTCTTTTATTAACTAATTTTTCTTCAATACGTAAATAAAATATAAATGTTTGTATGTAAATAATTATAACCTTCTTAATATCTCCCTACAGCTTGACATTTGAAGGCATTTCCACTCTGATAAAGTTTCTAGCCTCGTGGAGAAATTACTAGAATTTTTTTTCATCATTAGATGGTCATTGGTCATTCGGGTTATTTTCTGATTAATTTTCAACTGTGAAAAAAGCTCTTTAAATATATTCACAAAAAAGGAATTATTCTTAATGCAAAAGTTCTTAACTTAGCATATTTATTTTTGACAGAAGCACGAATAAAAGTTCATAAAATTTGTGTATTCAAACTTTTGAATAGGATTCGTTATATTTTAATTAACTAGAAATTTAATAGATCTGTTATATAGGGATTCTGACGTGTTATTCATTTTCGTTTTTAATGGTAATGAAATTTATGCAAACTCGGATTTCAACTAATTAAAATGTTTAAATCTTTGCATTTGAAAGAAGCACATAATTGAAATATATTTTCCTGCCGCATGAAATTGCTATAGGGGCTGCCAGTTTGAAACCACTGGTATAAGCAGTCTTACTAAGAAAACTGAATATTGGTACGATGAACTGAGAAAAGACTGGAAAAAAAATAGAAAAATCAGTGGCAACAATAACACACTATCGGAAATTTAAAGAATATGCTATTTTTAAAATTTTTTGATTTTATTGTTGGATTTTATGTGGCGTAAGTGCGAAGGAAACGATGTTTAATAATGCATTTAAACACGTTATGTTAGCAGAAGTGAATCCAAGAACAGACTGATACACTGCGAGCTCAGTGAGAGCATTAAAAACCGTAGTAAACCCTCTGGCACGTCTTTATTTTATTTTATTTATTTTTTTTTTAAGTCCAAAGGGGCCTTGTCCCTGAAGGACTATTGTTTCCATTTTGCGATTTTCCCTCGAATCACTCTGAATGTCCATTTCACTTTTCAAACTGTTGCCACCAAATATCATCATCCTGTATTATATTTGAAGAAATTAAATAATGAAGAATCTGCATAAATGTATGTATGTTTATCGCATTGTAATAAAACAGTGGTACTTAGAGCCATCCAATTTTGAATGACGTAATCCTACTGCAAATCTGAGCATCTGGAAGCCCAAATTTGAAATTTGGAATTAGTTTTAATCGATTTCATATTTTGTAAGACTTTAACGAATTTTCGATTAACAAACTATAGGATTTCAAAGCGAGCAAAGGCAACGTTGTACAGAAAAAACATTTTTACCTCCAGCGCGTGAGACTGTGTATCGGAAATTCTAAAGATATGCTCAATTTTAAACTATTTTGAGATATTGCTCTTGAACTGAGTTTTATGGTTTAAGTGCGAAGAACGTGATATTTAATAAATAAACTTTTTTTTTTACTTTTTTTCGGCTTCTACTAAGATAGAAATAAGTTGACACATATAAGAACAGAGTTCTTGAAGCTAACTTCCAAACTCGAGGGACGCATGTTCGGTTAGAGATCTACGTGTGTTCAAAAATGAGTGGCTCTACTGGCCGCCGTTTTTTCTAACGCCCCTACATACATAAATACGTACATACATACATGTACGTGCACACATACCTAGTGATTATTCACTATTTAATAGTAAGAGTAACAGATTACAGATTAGCTTTTGATTATCAAAGGGAAAAGTAGCTTGTAATTTTTCAAAAGGATTCCATAATTTTCTAACCTTTTTTATTCTCCTTTTTTTAATTAAAAAAAGGATTACCCGAATAATTAAGCATTCCTTTCGAGATTTATATATCAGCATATGGACTCCTTGATAAAGTAGTGAACATAAAGCTGAAAATAATCAACTCTATCCGAGAGTTAATGGACTAGAGACCCCTCATCGCGAGGCATGAAATGCGGGGATTCTTCAAGCTGTTAAACTCCTTTAAGGCCCGTTTAACCTCTATTATGTTTGCTGGGATATTAAATGAGATTAATTTAGATAGCAACCCTCTCTTTATTTTCGTTTAAAGATTTTTGACTTGCTTTTATGTTTTAAGGTATCACTGAATTACCACATAAGCAACTATAAAAAGCATTTTCCAAGCACCTGAAATTGCAGTTAACTCACGCCATGGAAGAATGACCACACCCTTGTCTTCCCTAACAAATTCCTAAAGATCAGTACGAGTATTAAGAAAGGTCTTTGTTCCTTGTTTATTCTGCAGTCACAATTGAATGCACGGAAGCTGCAGCTGAAATTCTTCGCAATGAAAAATAACAATCTTGAATTTTAATCTTTTTATAATTCAAATTTCTTCAAAGGCTTTTAAAGTAAACCTTTTGATTTAGTCATAAGCCAGAGGGTTACACAGTCTGCTTAATAAGTGAAAATCAAATCGTCTCAGTTTGAAGAGTGTCAGAAAGTCAAGTAAATTGAAAATATTAAATTACGAGCTAAGGCGCGCTACAAGCTAAGGCGCGGTTCAAACCCTTAGAATATTAGCGGTTACTGCTAGCAGAGCTAAAGCCGAATTAAATAATTTCCTTGCAGAAAAAAATATAAGCGTGAGGATCACCAATAGCTGCCAAAAGCTCTTTCTTGAACTCGAAAATACATTAACTAATTTGCATTCTTGCGGAAGTAGAAGTGAGAGTGTAGACAAATAATAAGGTACCTGTTTAATTAACGCAAACCTTCTGCAATTTAACTCGACCAGAAACCGACTAGTTATGACCGCTGAAGACTGGAAGTTTGACCCGGGCTCGATACCAGGCTAACGAGCTGGACGAATGGTTTCTGTGGATTTTCCATGTGTAACGTGAAAACAAGCTAGTTCCCCTCAGAAAGGCCTTAACGAAGGCATCCCTTCCCTTAGACAATGCGCTTTGCTATATTCGAGTAACCTAACATAACATAATTTGAAGTTTTCAAAATGAATTTTTCACAGACAGAGGGTATTTACATACTTTTAGAACGAATTCGATAATGAGTTTTAAAAGATGTTTTGAGATAAAACTTTCTGGAAATAGCTTATTATTTGAAGCGATAAAAATCGTCTGCTACTTTCAAATTTATTCCTCTTTCAAAATGTAGCATGTAAACAAACTGTGGACTGAAGGACAAGTTTTTGTGTTTTCCGAAGAGAAATATTCCTGTCCCATAGTTTAAAAACCTTCTGATATGCATGGTATTAAAATTTCGAAGTGCAAATAAGCATCATTAATAATCGGAAGGAAAACAAAACTCTCAATCATTCCTTCTACATTAAAAGAAAACTCGAAAACGAAGTACGTACTGTTTCTAATGTTGCTAAAAATTAAATCGTTCGTAACAAGAGAAAAAACCTCCGTCGGAGAACACAGTTGTCTTTAAACACATCTGTAACAACACTAAATAAAATAATAAATTAATATTTACAACTTAAAAATGCTAAAAATTATAACGGTCACCATTTTCTGCCAAGGAATAGGGGCGAAGGCGATGCAGAACAGTTTGTAAAATATTGTATGAAAATTATTTAGCAAGAGATAAATGGAAATGCATTGTACCCATTGATGAAGCTTGAATTAACCTAAATGACTGCCAAAGAAGAAAGTATATTTATTATCGCAAAGGAAGAGAAAAACAATGTGAGGAAATCTACCAAATTGGATGGTGATTTTCCGAAAGCTCATTTTCGAAAAAATACATAACCGATTAAAGAGCTATTATCTGTTCTTACTGAAACTTCTCCATGGCGCCGGGTTAATTCTACCGTGTTCTAGAATTTTCATGGAGCAAACACAAATGTTATTGAAAATGATAGTAATCTCTTGCTAATTGACAGCAAATTACGCTATTGTATGATACTTATTAAATTATATAAGTGATCAAAGAATGATTAACCGAAAGAGCAAATCGAGTAGACGGACTTCATTTGATGAATATTTCAATAAGCAATGAATGTTCCTGAAATTACTAAATAAAGTTACAATATTAGGTTTCTGAAGTTTTTCTTTTATCCCAAGATTTGTTTTCCATATTTTAAGACATTATTCACTATGCTTCAGGAAATTAAGCTGTAGATAAATTAATTTTTCCAGAGTTATCTAAATTAAGAGGAAAATCACGATTTCAAATAAGCAGTCCCCTCCCCTTCTTCAAATGAAGCCCGTTCATTCTGCGTAAAGCCTACACAACAGTGGTACTTGAGCTGATATTTAGTAATTTAACCGGTTAAGAAAATAAAAGCATCAAAATTCAAAGCACTTACCTACTTTATGGCAGCCTGACTTTTCCCAAGAGCTGGCGGAAATGCATGTAGTAGATAGCAGAGCTAACACAAGAGTTAAAACCAGATGCTTTTCAAAGAATTCCATTTCTCTTTGATTCGGAAACTATATTACTATAATTAATAGCAAATCTTATTTCTTTTCAAAAAGGATGCTATTTGTAGTTGTTTTTGTGTTCTTTTACCTGCAATGGCAAACAGAAAATAAAAAATACACATTCAGCATTTCGAATGATTTTGTTAAGATTTGTACATTTGCAATGCACTTCATTTTAGTTTAGTATTCAGTATAAAAAGGAAACAGTGACTCACATTTGTTATTGGACATTTACAATTTTTATACTTGTTTGCGTAAATCTTCTATTAAATACTGAAACTAAATCTTTTTCTAATGTACTATTTTTTTCTCTAATTTAAGATTTACTTATTAGAAAATAAATATCCTCAAAATATTCCAAGCAATAAAATAATTTATTCCAAATTGTTAACTAGTAACTCATATAATTAATCATTCGTACGCTTGAAAATTTTGTAAGAAGTTTCTTATCATAATTTTTTGTTCCAATTAAAAACAAATCGCAAGAATTACCGTGTGCATTTGGAATTTATTACTTATTAGGCAAAATATAATAACAATTTCATATCTGAAGCGAGCATGGCATATGCTACAAATTAACCAAAAGTTTTTTCAGAAATTTAAAATGTCTTCAATTTCAATTCATTTTTAAGGCAGAAAAAGTAGTATTTGGAAGAAACTGGGTGGAACTATTCAAAATGCACTGAAATCTGGATAACATTCCAAGGTAGCACGAAAGATTGAGATATTTATTTTGCGAAAACTTAGAACTACAGAAATATTATTGTTGTGAAACGTGCACGGGGTTTAGAAAGAACAGTTTGCAATAAAGATTTACTGTGAAAGAATCATTACAGCAAATGGATATTACGGGAAATCAGCAAGAAGGAAATTCCTCGTCAACAAGAAAACAAGTAAAATACTTCTGTGGCTCGCAAAATAGATCTTAAAGCAAGCAAATATTTATTATGTTTGGACAATGTTGTGTTAGCAAACAAGTTAAAATTTAATATATTCGGGTTCAATGGACAAATTATTATGAAGCGAAACGCGAATGAAGGCTTGAATACAAGAACAAAAAATGTTGTCTATTGTTTATTTGGAGTGGAGACTTCAGGTGTTTCGTTTGGCGTGGAGATGTTTCATTTGTCTAAGAAGGCCTTCAAAGTAAAACACAGATGAAAACAATACACATTTCTGTTTTCACCAGATGGCGCGCAGCGTAAAATTCTGTATTTTTGTTTCTCATCAACATTGACAAGAATACTTCAGGTTTCAAAAAGAGAGGTAAGGTCTGTAATTCTTTTTCTATCGTTTGTTTTTGTGTAGATATACCGTGTTTTGTAGTTACGTTTTTTTCTCGTCTTCGACATGTAAGAATTATGAGGAATATAACTGTTTTCTTAAAAAATAAGCTTCAAGTAGTGTTCGATAAAATTATACCACTTAAGCTCGGTACAGTCTTTTTTGGAAGAAAAAAGGTAAATGAAACCTTTTTTTCTTAATTTATAATTAACTTTAGTTATCTTTGTTATAGTTTACAACATGGCATCCCATGCCGATATACTGAGCTTAATTAATTGATTTTAGAATGAATAATTAATAATATTGGAATCAAAACTAGGAATAATATTAAATATCCTGAATGTGTTTACTGTGAAACTAGCTAAGGCTTAGCATTTCGAATTTATATTTGAACTGACCGACATTGATAAAGTGAACTGTGTTGTCCATACTTTTGAACAAACTGACATTTATTGAAAATTTTTATATTCTGAATTTAATTTGATATTTACTGATACTTTTTATTTGCCGAACTTAATTCGAATTAACATCATCCTCGAAAATTTGTATATATGTTAAAATTTGCCAGAGTGCAATCATATAAGTTATTAAAACGGAAATGTAAATCGCTAAGAACTGCTGTTACGAAGGCAATTAATGATTTCAAAGCTGAATTACCAGACACAGATTTAAATGCTACAAAGAGAGATAAGCTTATAGAAATTCTTTCCATTAAATTTGAACCTCTAGCATTAGTTGATCAACACTTTGATCCACTTTTTGAAGTCTCAGGAATTTGTTATCGAATTTGAAACTATGCAAAAATACAAAGAAAATGTATTACTTTGGCAATTCCGTGCGAAGAAGAAAATCGAAAAATTTTCGAAAGCTTAATTCGTGGCAAGCTATGGGCCTCGATTAGAACAAATTTCGAACTCTGATAGCCTGATATTAAATTCCCCAAATGCCATTATTGCCCAACACTGTGATGGTGACGGCTCAAAACGGCTTACTTTTAGGAACAGTTTCGAAACAGCTGCGAAGAGTAATGAGTCTCTAAACAACGTAGACAAGTTCAATTATGTAAAGGCTTATTTGGGAAGATCTGCTTTGAGCACTGTAGAGCACCCGTTAAGAACCCCTGTAGATCAGGGTTCTTAACGGGTGGTAAGCAAGAGAAAAATAGGTGGTACGCAGAGACGCAACGTATTAACTATTAAATTCAAAAATTAAAACCCCAACATTCTGATTGAGTTTTTTTCTCTGACACTCGCAAATTTATGCTATCTGAGCTTTGTTCAAAAGTCGTGGTGGTAGTAGTACTTTGTAGTGGTGGTACTAGAGGTTTTCAGTTTTTGTTTGGATGGTGCGCGTTAGTCAAAAGGATGAGAATATTTCGGCAGAAGCCTACGATGAAACTGTACAATTAGTAAAGGACAGGTCTGCCAATAAATAGATATTGATTCAAGCGCACATGGACAAGATACTAACTGCGCAGCCATTAAAACACTTTATTAAATCGTTTAGGATATTTGTCAATAATTTTAATGTGCCATTGAGAAATTTAGAATCATTAGGCATGTCTCCCAAACATTATGAAAGTATTTTATTTAAACTTATTCCGACTGATTTAATATTAGATTATAACAAATCGCAAGAAGACAAATCTGTCTCGGCTAAGTTTGTTTTCGTTTCTCGCCCAAGCTTTGACAGTGCGTGAATGGACATATTCTAATAATAAATCGTCTTTCGAATTATGCAATCGAAAACAAGATTGCAGACATAATTTTTAGCAAGAAAGGAACTTGAATAAAAAGCAAAATTTAACGAATCTTTCAACGACGAACGAATTACTGATGGCGTCAGTCGTCAGTAATATATATAAAAAGAAAACAACTTGTTTATTTTGTGATTCCATGACTCATAATGTCGGATAGCTGCAAATGTAGTGATGATTCTTTCTTTGGAAGAAAGAAAAAGTATCTTATTACGTAAAGGAGTATGCTTTAAATGTTTATAAAATAAGTATTTATTGCGGAACTGCCTCATTAAGAAAACTAAATGTGAATTATGTTCGGGACTACATCATAACCTGATTTTGTTTTGAGCAACAAAAACGAGAAAGGGAAAGAATGAATAATATCGAATCAGAGTCTAACAACATAACGGATCAAAGAAATGGAGAGATTTTTTTGTAGATTTTAACTATTTACATGGAAAATGAAAATTCAAGGCTACTGGTGGGTGAGGGCGATTTAAGACACCTGCAAGCCAGAAAAATTAAGGATTATATTATGCAGACATGATGGAAAATTTAAATTTGTTATGGAAGTCATTGATCAGGGGAATATTTGATTGGGCATACCTAGAATTAATGATTATAAAATTTTACAAGAATTGAAGGAATCAATACATTTGTAACCGATTCTTATATGAATAACAAGCTTTATTTTTTTTTCGAAAAAGATGCTAATGAAATTCAGGATTTATTGGGCTCTGATATTGTGGAAACATTATTGACTGTTAATGTAAAACAACTTTCTGATGGGCTCAGCGCAGTAAAAAAGCATTTAGGATGAAACATTTCCAAAAAATCTAAATGGAATCTGAGTTTGAACGAAAAACCTCGAAGCTGATGCATTCGTTGCGAATGAACTGCGAGGAATATTCAGATGAATTTATCATGCTTAATCGTAGGGTGAAAGAGAGTATAGATAATGCGGATGACCGTAATGTCAACACAAGTTCTAACACGAATAATAGCATAAACGCTTCTAATGAAAAGCGGTACAAGTTTCCAAAAATTCAAATAAAAAAATTCGATGGGCAATTATTAAGTTACCTAACATTTTGGGGTCTATTTAAAAAGATCCATGAGGATAAGGAACTTAATGACGTTGACAAATTCCATTATTTACCTCAATCAACGTTACCAGGAACTCGAGCTAGTGAGTTGATAGAAAGTTATCCTTTAACAGCTGAAAATTACCCAAAAACTGTTTCTGCGTTTAAGGAGGGTTTTGGCAACAAGGAAATTTTAACTGAGATATATGTGAGGGAATTGTTAAAATTAATTATCCAGAATATACGCTTACTAGAGAAGGATCGGTTGCCGCTAGTGTCACTGTTTGACAAAATCGAGCCCTACCTCAGAACTCTAGAGCCTTTGGGTTTAGCCCTAGATACTAATGTGTCGTGGTTGTATCCCATGGTCGAGTCTTGCGTATCGGCTGAGGTGCTTCGAGTATGGCAGAGAAGCATTTTGTTTAGTAACGAGGGATCATGTCTCTCAAATCTCTTGAAATTTTTGCGTAAAGAGGTAGAAGGAGACCAGAGAGTTAAACTGGGCAGGTCTGGAATTGAAATTTCTTCTACTTTGCGCGATGAACATTCTAAAGATGTAAAGGTTAAGACCAAAAAAACCAATCGTGAGCGTAGCAAGTCTAGTTGCTGTCAAAGAACAAAAATGTGTTTTTTGCGGAAAATCTCAAGAAAGCGAAGAATGTTTTACAATTTGATCGATGTGCTTAAAGGAAAGATTAGACAAATAAGGAAAATTAAAATTCTGCCTTCGCTGTCTTAAATCAGGGCATTTTTCGAAGCAGTGTCCACAGCTTATTCAATTCTATTTGTGTAGGCGATCTCAACCTATAATTTTATTCTCGGAGGTATCAGAGAACAATGCTGACAATAAGGAAAACGAAACGAGTCAGTAATGGTACAAAGTACAATGTCCTTCTCCCTTATGTATGAATGAAGTCACTCTTATGACTTTAATGGTTGAAATAGTTGTAGGATAATGTAAAGAAGGTGGTCAGGTGCCTC